GCTTACTATACCGTGCGCGTAAAGTGATCGGTCGTACGTCGCTTTAAATCTGTGTAACTGCAGATTCCGCTCGTAAATGAACCCGCAGTTATGGCTCCGCTAAGTTATTTTTCCATACATGCAATTATCGTTAATTATTTTTTCCCCAACGTAATTAGCTTAACAGAATTACTCCGCGTTCCTTTACAGTTAATCGTAATTGATGTTCGCCAAGTATTCCAGAATTTTTATAGAAAATATCCATTTCCAATCTTCAAATGCAGTATAGACGAAGCTGAGTCAGACTATGATTGGGAAAGGAGCCACGAACCACAAATTCTTCCCACGCGTTTCACTTGAGAATTATTCTGAAAAAACCTTTGCCCAGAAAGGCACAGAAAAAAAAAGTCGTGGTCCCAAAGATTCATTACGTAATTTGCATTTTTTTTATAACGTTCCAACCAGTTTAAATAAGTGGGCAGCTACTTTCCTCGGGTTTGACAGGACGGCCGGTCGCGGATATAAATCGTACATTTTAGAGCGCGCCCAGGCAGATTACACGTGAGTAATGTACCGCGCCCTGTCCCCCCGGCCCGTACTTTTTCCACCCGTCCGTACTTAACCGTGAGATTTACGCGACACGGATCTCCCGCGGTGTCGAGCGAATTGAAATTCTTAATCGGTACTACCGTGATTCATGACGAGGCTCCACTGCTATTGTAACGAACCGAGAGGTGAACATGACTTTACGTCATATCCTCTTCCCGTTACTCGATAAGAAATCACGAATAATATTAGAAGACGACGTATAGAGAATCCAAGGAGAACGAACCTAATTACTTTGTTATTCAAATTACGTTTCGACGTAGATATTGCAAACTTATTTATATCCATTCGTTCCTCAAAGATTGTAATTTATGTATAATACATACACGTGATACATAAGTATTCGAAAAGTACTCTGAGACAATTTATTTTCTATCGCAGTTGACCTTGAGTGACCTTGAATGACCTTCATAATAGGTCATTGTATTCGCCTTGAAACACTCTATCAGAATGTANCTTTTATTCTTTCACAATCCAGTCATTTTTACTGCTTTTGGGCAATATAGGTATATACTAAGTTTCAGTCTTTCTAGTGTTAAGTACCCCTTTCCTCTCTATGATGACGAATGATCGAAGCAATAGATACAAAAATTGCTGGCTCGAGTGTCTCGGTTACCACGAATAGAGCAAATCATCGTTAAGCGATGGGTGCTGTTCGAACTGGATCCTCAACAATCATCGAGCGTACAAACGGACTCAACACATAGTCACTCTATGTATAGTCGACGATTGTGCAGAATCGTACGCTTCCATTTTCACCCCGTCGCGAGCATTCGCGTCATTAGGCCATTCGGTATTACAAATGACGTCGAAGTTCCAAGGCCCTCTCTCCCTGCTTTGTTCGCTCCTCATCTGCTCTCCCCTCCCTCGGACCGTCGCTTCATCTTCTCCTCAATCTCCTCGTTTTCTTGCACGTTCCATTCTCCGTTCAACCCCGCTACTCTCTACCAGAGATTTTTCTTCGTTTTCGTTTCTTACTCCACTTCTACTCCGTTCCCCCCACTCTTTATCGTTTCATCTCGCTTCTTATCCACGGGCACCGCGTGGCCGCGGCGGTCAATCCCAGATGGGTCCTGTAACTGGATCGCTCGGAGGTTCCACGTAAAAACCTGCAGGAAAGTCATAAGCATTTATGAGTTTCTTTAGGGGGATAATAAGTACGGAATGATCGTAGTTTGTATTCCGGCGATGCGTGCGCGAACCAGCGGTTTCTTACGCCGCTGCTTGTAAATGCGCCTTTCCCTCGCTGTGCATTATCGTCGCAGGAAGAAGTGTCCCGTCACCGATTCCACTTCACGCGTCGGACCCCGACCGATCATCGCCGATTACGTAACACTGTTTCTTTCTGCGTCGGTGGATTGAAGCGAAGGCCGATACCGGAACGAAGGAGTGACGTGTAAATCGTGAAACGAGGACGTCGAGGAATCAATCGTATAGGAGCGTGAAATCGATTCGTAATTATATATCAGTAGATTACGCCTCGTGTGGGTCAGACAACGTCAGCTGGAAGCCAGGCTCTTGTTTCTTATCGTACCTTTGTATGTATGTATGTATATATGTATGTATTTATTTATGTATTTATGTATGCATGTCAGGGCAAAGGTTTACGACACGTTCGTGGGATAAGGTATGTTTTTAACCTAGGCATTCAGTTTACAATTATCGTGCCTCGTGTTCCATTCAGCTGGGGACCGAACTTCGTTTTCGTGTTTTTCAGATTGCACCTCGTTTAATTTAAAAGGGAGACTCCAGCAAAATAATAGAAAACAATTATAGGGGAATTTTTAGGCCAGTATTGAATCATTATATGAAATAAAATGGCCCAAAATGAATGTGGAGTTTAATAATCTTAGTGTCTCTTAAGGATGTATTGGCTATACAGTCAATCCCAAAAGTTTATGCACTTTAGAAACGCATTTTTTAAAAAGAAATCAGACGTCGGAAGAACATTNGTCGAAGTATGAATAATTTAGAATTGCCAGTCAATATTCCCAATTAAACGTCTGAGAGTTAAGGGCTACTAATTCGTGACAATTTTCTTGATTAATTAACAAGAAGAAATTTCAGAATTCCTAAGTGCCAGTAATGGCATCACATTTTCTCTGTCCTTGGAACGATTCGTATCCTCTAGTGGCTGAAGAATAATTGCAAGGCTCACGGACAGGCGTTTCGAATCGTTCTTGCAGTCATCAGTCTCCTGCGCAGAGTAAACATTAACCGAGCAACACCGCGACGGCCTAGCTTCGCACCCACGAATTTCATTTGCGTATGCATCAACTCCGACCTCCGTCCCCCGCCAACCCGTCCAACTTGCATAATGAACGGTTCTATCCCTAGCCGGGACGCGGTCCAAGTTTCGCGCACGATTTCCGGAACGAAGCGGAACCGGAGGGAGACGGGACGATGGGAAAGTTGCGAGGAATCTCAGATAAACAGCGTCGTCGGGAGAGTTTAAACGAATTCGCTCGGACGGCTGGCCATCGGTCAACGCGCGATACGCTTTGACAAGTACAACAAGTGGCGGATGCTTCACGGTGGTCGGTGGGACGACGACGACGTAGGGGAAAAAAGACGTTAAGCTATCGAGTGGAAGAGGGGAAAGAACGTGCCGCAATCTGAAAGGTATCGTCGATCACCGGGGACACCGGCGGAAAAAGATTGCTGGTTTGTTTGCCGACGAGAAAAACCTGGAACGATTAAGCGTACACGAGTGCCACGGAGGACGACGCTCAGTTCTGAACTTCCACGGGGACTGCTGCTTTGCGTTTCAATGCGGTTTCTTGCATCGCGCCGGGAATACGCGCCGCGTTAATAACCATACGGATCTTAAAATAGATCATCGTTAAAAGGATGCCAGTTGGAAACGTCTTAGAACAACAATTTATGTCTTAAAATGAATTTCCCTTCTGACAGACCGTCCAAAGGGTTAAAGGTTAAACTATGATTATCACGAACTAATTTAAACTGGTTAGAAGAAAGGCGCACCCTGTCTGAGAATCATTAAAAACATAATCGACAGGACTGATTGTTCTCGTCTGGTGCAGGTCAAACTTAAGGAGGCTGGGTAGATCACTCGCGGGGCAGGCAGTGAGAGGGGTAGTCCTATGCTTATACATGGATGCTCTATCGTGATACCAACCTTAGATAAAACAATTTGAATTCGTTAAATATCGTATTTATCAATGAATTTACAAAGAAATTAGTATCAAACAACTTTTTTTAGTGTCAAGAATATAAACACGTCCTTGCGATAGACATTAACAC